ACCGGCCAAAGTCGGTGACACGGTGTCAGAAAGTGGGACACTTGTGTGAGTCCGAGTGACGCCAAAGTTCTTGCCTGGGGCTGTGACGACGCGGAGCAGTGATCGTAGAGGTTTTCCAGGCCAGGCAAAAACGCATTGTGCCACAGGGGGACGGTCCATGAGGGGGCATTGGACGGAAACCCAAACATAGTCCATCGGGACGTGAACCATTCTGAGAGCAGACTTGTCCACATTGGAGTGATGCCCGGGTGTTTCATGAATTGCTTCATGAAGGGTGAAGTACCCTGTGACAGCAGCAGATCCCGTGGAGAGCCCCACGGATGGAACGCTTTCTCAAGCAAAGCATAGCCAGGAGTAATCCTCTCGGTATCAGACGACTCGAATACCTGACCGATGAAGCCCATACTACTCCAGGGCTCCCGCTGGACGCGACCCTACAGATAAGTTTAACACAACAACCAAATGAAACTTACACCAACACCGAATCACCGCGCTTGCAAGCGGTTGACCAAGCGAGCTTTAAAGACACGGGAACGAAACCCGGAGGGCAGCAGCGCCTCACCCCTGTCCCAACGGGACCGAGAAAGACGCTAATATCCCTTCGTCCCTTCCTGACGCGAAGGCTCACATACGGCCTTCCTGTCCAAGGGCCGCCGTGCGCTCCCAGAAAACAGCCACGCCACAGGCCACAACCACTACAACTACCTCTGGGATTCAAATCTTCAAAAACCGGAGGTCAAAGTGGCAAAGACCTCCCGCAACCCCGGGCCGAGCTCGACAACGTCAGGGGTGCCCGTGAACCTGGCAACAACCCCTGGTTACGAAACTGGACTCCCCTTGGGGTGACCTTTGTCTTCACGGAAGCCTAAATCGAAGCAATCATGCGGGGCGACCTCACGGGCATCCCCGAGGCTGGGCACGTCGATTTCGAGGAGCGTCTGTACCCTGTCTCACCAGCCGACCTAGAACGTCAGCTCGTCCGACTCGAACAATAGAGAAAAGATGTCACTCTGGAAGATATCGTTCAGATGGTTGGTTGCCATTGACCCGGGACGACGCGCATCTGTTCGAGTCGCCTTCGGACATTGACGACCCCGATCGCTGGCTCGACTGGTTCTCCAGCACCCTGGAAACATGCGACGAGGCCCACGTGATCACCGCGTGTCGGCAATAATCGCAACTTCGAAAACGCGCGAGTGGCTATTATTGCCGACACGCGGTGGTCACGTTTCCAGCGAAAGAACCTGGTCTCGAACGATCTACCTGGCTTCGGACCCATCCCTGAGACCGTTTGCACGCCACCCGAGGGTGTCGCCATACCTATCGCCGGTAACGTAAACAATCAATTTAAGACGCATCTGAGGAAGGCGGCTGGGGAGAACTTCCAAAGCTCCCCGCTCATTCAACATTTTCGACCTCTGAAACTTGGAGATTGTAGCTGAATTAATGGGGAACAACCTCATATCAATTATATTGGGTTTCGATGTATTTCCAATGACTAAATCAACAAAAACCAAGCAAGTTTGATCTCATTTTAACAATCAATTTAGGATGCATATTTATATCTTGAATAATGTATACCACTTTGCATATAAATTGTGTGGTTAGGTTATTTCGCCTCGTTTCATTGGCTCAAGGAAATTTCACGTCTTTTCATTGCCTCATGTACATTTTGTCTTAAATTGATTGAAGCTCTTAAATTGATTGTTTACGTTAGTGAAATTCCCCATCTACCCACTCGACAATGGTCAAAGTCCAAGGAGTCGTACAGTACCACTTGACAGACGGCCAGGCCTCTTTCACCCTACAATTACGGGACATTAAGCTCACACGATTACCCTCGGCCATCTGGAGCATCCGTCGCAGGACGCTTTCATCCCGGCACCACTACCTGGACCTCGTCCTCGGGTGCCATCACATTGAACGCGCCCTCGCAACCTCCGACTGCCGGCCGCAAACCCCGGTGTCTCTCTCCCCGGGTGTCGTTGCCTCAAACAATCATCTCGACGTCGAAACCACCTGTCTGGGGGTACCGACGGTCGAATTGCCATTCCTGGACCTAAACGATGACGAGCTCCTCTCATTGGTAGCACCACTCCCTCGGCCAGGCCAAATGGTGTGCCACGTGGGTTCCAATTCTAACACCCCGTTGGTTCAGGTCCACATCCAAACGTCGGACACGCTCGCGTTAGTGGACACAGGAGCTTCCGTGACGGTGATTAGCGAGGCGTTCTGGAACGACCTCGGGAGTCCTCCACTCCAAAAACCGGTGTATGGGTTGGTCTCGGCATCCAACACACCTATACGAACGCTGGGTCTCCGGTACTTCAGCATCACCCTAGCAGGAAAACAAACGACCTTCCCGGTATGGGTACTGGTCGACTCCGTCAGCCCGTGCATTCTGGGGATTAACCTGTTGCGCAAACTCAAGGCCCTCGTCGACCTCTCGACCAACTGCGTTTGTTTTGGAGATTCTCCCATAACCCTACCGTTCCACACAGACGACGCCCAGGCGACACCAAGAACGGTCGCCCATCTCAAACGTGAGGACCCGCGGGAACCACCGGCACAGAAAGCTCACGAACCCGCGCCTTCGGCTTCACTACACAACGCGCCGGCCAACTGGTCCACTCTCCACCCCACTTCCACGGTCTATGTCAAAAGCAACTCCCGCAGGCTTGTCTTATGTCGCATCTCGTCAGACTTCCCGGAAGGGTGCCCTATATTGGTGGAATTCACTGCTTCGTTGTCCCCTTTACATATCGCCCGTTCGCTCAACATCGTCCGGAAGGAAGGCTTCTGGGTCCAGGTGCGGAACCACTCTGACAAGAAATTAGTCATTCGCCCCAAAGACGCCATCGGAGGGGTTTCCCACCTTCCGGATCATTACAGGGACCACACGAATGCACTCGCATCGGACTCGTCTACCACCCTGTCGCCCCAGAGCGCGACTTCTCTGCAGGGGCAGGGACCACTGGAGGCGGAAACACTATGTGCACTATCCACAGGAGCGCAGGAAACAAGTACGAAACCAGGCAGGAAAGATCCAAATTGACTGGAAGGATTCCAGCCTGAGCCTCGAACAGAAAGCACTCCTCCGAAAACTCCTACGCTTCGACCTCTTCATCTCGACATCAAAAGCCCCGGGAAGGACTGACCTGACCAAATGCCACATTTGGTCAGGTCAAGATGCCGGCTTCAAACTGAAAGCGTCCAAGCCAATAGGGAAGGAATAGGGTCGGATTCCTGGGGCACACTACCCCTGGAGGCATCTTACCCAACCCTGAAAAAGTGAAAGCTGTGCTGAGGATCCAACCCCTGAAAAACGTGGCCCAAGTCCGATCCTTCCTGGGACTCGCCGGCTACTTCTGGAGATTCATCAAGGGATACGCCCTACTCTCGCGACCCTTGGAAAAACTTAAGGTGGCTGACGAGTTCGAATGGCCCCCGGAATGCCAAACCTCTCTGGATAATCTAAAGAGAAAGCTGGCCAGCCCCCCGATCCTGGCCTACCCAGACTTCGAACTACCATTCACGGTCTTCGTGGACGCATGTCCCATAGCCCTGGGGGCGGTGTTGATGCAAGAACAACGAGGCCGACACCGGGTGATTGCGTATGCTAGCCAAGCCCTGGACGCCTCTCAACAAAAATGGATCAAGAAGAAAGACGGAGTCTCGGAGATCGAATGTTATGGGTTGGTGTGGGCCACGATCAAGTTCAGACCCTACCTCGACCGGAGACACTTCACGGTCTACAAGGATCACGCGGCCCTAGTATGGTTATACAAGACCGGATCGAAGTCCGGGAACGGGAAGTTGGCCCGGTGGGCATTGCACCTACAAAGCCTGGATTTCACGGTGGTCCATCGACATGGAGCACAGATGGGGTGCGCCGATGGCCTGTCACGACTCCCCATTGTCTCAGGACGAACCGACCCAGAGAGCTTATCATTGGGATGCAGAGACCGATGACTTCTCACCCAGGCCCCTACCGACAGGGGGCCCCCAAGTGTGCTCCATAGCCTCGGGAGTAATGGAAGCGGTCACAAGGAGTCAAGCCCGCGCGTCGGAACAACCCTACGAGTCCCCGGAAGCAAAAGCGATGAAAGAAGTGAACCCCAAGGACCCGGAAAAATTCCCCAGAACCCCTAACCGTTGCCCCGACGGCGGAACTCCCTTCCCTGGGAGTTTGGAGAGTTCCCAAGTCGGTGGGGGGCCCGCTCCGGTAGCCGAAGCGGACAGGGAAACGCCTCTGAAACTGCATCCGTACCGCGACGACAGTACGTTCTGCCTGACCGAGTACTACGTAAGGAACAGGCACGGGAACGGGACCCGTTCACCACTTCCATGACGGCGTACCTCGAGGACAAGACACTCCCCTTGGAGGAGTGGCTCATGAAGGTGGTAACCCGGACGTCCGAGGATTACGAAGTGAAGGACCATGTACTCTATCGGAGGGTGATCTTGAAGTCCCCAATCAGAAACCCTAAGTTGAATCTAGTACCATTAATTCCGATCTCGATGACTACCGACGTCCTGGTGCTCTGCCACGACTCCCCTTTGTCAGGTCACTTCGGAAGAGAACGGACCTTGGAAAGGGTACGACGAGTTGGGTACTGGCACCAATGGGGTAAGGACGTCCGGGAATACTGCATCTGTTGTGTCCGATGTGGTGCCACTAAGGGCACGAGACGAGACCCTGGAAACAAGGACGACAGCAGCGGATGCCTGTGTACAGCCTCAGGGGCCCGTTCAGTTTCGTCGTGGTCGACGCGCTCGGCCCTAGGGACAGGGGCTGGTGGAACGATTTAACTCCACACTGGCCACGATGCAGAAGATGTACGTAAATGCGGCCCACACGGACTGGGACGCTTACCTGCCACGGCTACTATGGGCCTATGTACCGCTCAGGTACTCAAAGGGCAGAACCGATATGCGATCTCACGAGACAGTCAGCGGAAGGTTGACTTCCAACCCGCGGATTCTGTATGGGTCTACCAATACTTCCATAAGACGACGAATCATGACAACCTCCGAGTCCGAAAGTTCGCCTACCACTGGCACGGACCCTACCGAATCCACTGTCGGCAAGGGGATAACACGTACCGGATCTACTTACCTACCCACCCCGACCGGGTCGTCCCTATCGACGTAGACCGCCTCAAGGCTTTCCGGGGTTATTGGACCCGCCCGTTTAACAACGAGGTCCCGGAAGGATATCAAGAGACTGATGGCTCCTGGGAGGAGGCCTGCGACGTTCTTTTGGACGACGAACTGCTCCCAGACTCGAGCTTCATCGACCGCCTTGAGTTCGCCGACGGAGACGTGGTGTACACGAACACCCCAACGCCCATTGTCAAGGTCCTGGACAAAAGGCGCACGGCGCCCCGGGAGCCTGAATACCTGGTACGACACGCGGATGGCGAAACCCATTGGACACCACGATCTCAGCGTATGGATTTCGAGTCGTTCATCTCGGAATATGAAAACCTGGTACGCTCCTGGTACGCTCCCACCAAGGCCTGTCTACCCTACGTCGCAGTCCCAGACTAGCGGAACTCGATGTGGAGGCCGTGGTTCGCGAGTACTAGCTACTCCGCCCGTCAGCCCGACCCTTTTTTGGGGTTCCGGGAACACTCAAAACACTGCATTTATATATGAAAAACACTGCATTATACAAGACCCGGACTATTCTCGCCGTCCTGGGGAAGCTCAAAGGTCAACGGCCACCGTCTCTTCATCCGTGACTGTAGCGGAGTCGGACAATAAGTCCACCACTTCGGGTGCCGGGAACGTACTCTGAACCCCGGAAGCTGAAGACGTCGTTGGCGCGCCGGACGTCGTGGTCGTTTTCGGTACTCCAGTGGTGTTGGGAAGTGGGGGCGTATACCCCGTGGGGGAAGTGCCCGCTGGAACCCTTCGGGGGGATGCGAACGGGAAACGCCCATGATAGACACCGGCGAGTCGGCACTCTTTGGCCTGGGCATACAACCACGCCAACACTTTCGACACTCTCTCCCGGGAACAGTTCGCCGGATTCAAGGGGTCAAACTTCTTCAACCAAAACTCCCTGAGCGAGCGCCCCTTGAGGAAGGCTAGAGTGGCCATGAACGGGGGGATCGAACGGCTCGGCGCGAGAAGTGGGCGGGATCTCCGCCCAAAATTCCGAGCCTTGAGATGACAGGTAGTCCTGCACGGCTCGAGCACCCTGGACCGAGGCCATCATCTTCAAAGAGATCCCATCGCGAAGGAAGTCCGGCCAAAATGAATGGGGGCAACAAGTCGGTCCGATGGAGCCGGACGATGCGGTACAAGCATCCGATAATGCCCACCAATGGACCCATGGCCGCCTCAGCCTCGGCATTTACTTCGGCCAACCCCCGCATGAAACGACGGTTCTAGTGCGCGAGGGCATGATTTTCCCAGAAGTCCTCGAGTTGTTCCTGGAGCTCCGCCCAACAGCGGAAGTTGGCTCCACGACGAGTGTATAAACGACTCTGCGCCTTGTACTGCTCCCACGGCTTCGATGACGCCACGGCCATATAGGTCGCATCGACGTCTCGGGGTAGATTCGGGTCCGTGGACGGTAAGGGGACAGCAGCGTGGACAGGAGAGACTTTCCGTTTCCCGCGACACCCTCCTGTGGCCGGGCGTTTCGCGGAACGCGAGGGGGGTGGAGGTAGGAGCGCCTTGGCACCCGCCAGTCCTGGGGGGTCGATCCCTTATCCCCCGAGTTCGGAGAGGCCTCGACAACGTCCGCC